TTTGCTTCTTTTTATCATTTCTGCCTGCTTGATGTCTGCTTTAGCCAGGCTTTACTCCACGGACTGTTTAGAACCAAAAATAAAATGAAACTTTAATTAGCCCTTTGATGATTCTGAAGATGCAGGAGATGGAATCCTAGAGAACTCAGGAAGTAGGTTGCCTTTCCCTGTTTTAAAAAAGTTGAGGATAATTAAAATGAATAAAAGATAAAAAAAAAAGTTGAGGATAAGAACAAAGAGTAAGTGTCCAGGATGGAAGGAATGATTTTAGGTCTGGTAGCTGGGCAGCTCTGGTTAATATTGACCTCTAGATTGTTTAACTATTGTTTTGCAACTGCAGGCTGCCTTGGGCTTGAGACAGGCCTTCAGGGAAAGCAGCACATAATCTTTCCCTATGGGCTGCATCCATCAGGAAGAATGCAGTAGAGGTAATTCCAATGTGTTCAGTTATCCTGTCCAGATTTAATCTGTGTCATCTGAGGTTGAAAGTTTGAAACACTCAGAGAGGCCTGGAAGTAGTCTTCTAGATACCTGGAATAGTGTAAGGGCATTCTCTAACATATAAGGAAAATGTTCACCATGAATTAATTGACTAGTTCTGTGTGTTTGAGTTTCATGAATTAGATTTTCAGTAAGTAGGGCACCATTAAATTCAACAAAAAGCACAAGCACAATTCTGCCACTTACTAGCTATGTGGATTGGGAAAAATATCTTGACCCAAGTCCCAAATTTCTCATTTGTAAAAATGCAAATAGTACAACTTACCTTCTGAGATAATTCATGTACCATAATATACTATTCTGCCTGAGTCAGAATAAACACATGAGGGCCGGGGATGCAGCTCAGCAGCCTAAGCACCTGACTGGCATGCACAAGGTCCCGAGTTTGACACCCAGTACCACAAAAAAACCAACCAACTGACCAATCAACAAACAAAAAAACATATGATAAAAGTTTAATACTACTGCAATAACTATTACCAAACTATATTAGATAATTCTAATAAGTACTGGAAACATAAAAGACAAAAGACATAATCTTACCATCTAGAAGACTTAAGGCCAAGGAAGGAGGTACGGATCTTAAGAGTTCCCTCAAAGCTCATGTGTTAAAGCCTTGGTTCCCAGCTTAGCACTATTGGAAGGTGATAGAAACTTTTAATAACTGGAGCTGAACAGATGATCTTCCGGTCTTTAGGGTCATGCAGTCAAAGGAGATGGTGGAATCCCAAGCCCTACCTTCTTCTATTTTTTACTTTCCAGCAATGAGGTAGGAAGCTTTGCTATACCACACACGGCCCACCTCTACATACTACTTTCTGCTGTATTTCCAAAAACAACAGGGCCAATTCACCATGGACCGAAACCTCCAAAATTATGAGCCTCAACTTAGACAATAAGCTTTTCTCTAGGTTGAGTAACTCAGATACTTGTTATAGTAATAGAAAGCTGGCTAATGCAGTATAGGAATAAAATATATTAAAATAGGTTTAGGATATGGCTCAGTGGTACAGCATGTGCTTTATGTGCACAAGGACCTGGGTTTGCTCCCCAACACTAAGATAAATAAATGTATAAATTAACACAAATAAATAGAAAGATACGATGCATGGTGAGTAGGGCTTATAGCTACAAGAAACCTGCTAGTGATTACATTTTCCTCTATGTTGTCTGGCATCAAAAAGCAAATAGAAAAAAAAAGCAAATAGCCTTGGAATTAGTGAGCTTTCTATAGCCCTTTGCATAAATCAAGTAACTTCAATTGTTCTTCAGGAAAGACAAAGAAAAAAATTATATGTAAGTAGCTTTTTCAAAAAAGAGAATTAGTCACCAGGGAAGAACAGAGGATAATGGCTCTAAAAGCTAGCTCCAGTCCTGATCTAGCACTACTTAGAATGGACCCAAGAGGTAGCTAGCTCTGTGTGGAAATAGAAACAGCTAGTGTTTTTGAAATCTCAGGCTCTCTTTCCGAGCCTAAGGGCTCTGGGATCAGTATGAAGCTGAAGCAGCCAGGAAAAACACTGCTGTGGCCCAGACTGACAGTGTGTTGACCCAACTATCAGTCAGCTATGGAGGATAAGTCTTCCGCTTTGTTTTTTTCACATCTTCTGCTAAACAGCTTTGCTGCCTGCAGCCAGCATCTTGGCATCCAGCTGCTTCAGCCTATAAGGCCTCACTGTTAGAATCTGGCCAGGGCCCTTCCTATAAGACAGTTCTGGAACATGGGCAGCTAACTCTGGAAAATAAGCCAGACACCTCCCAGAATTCAAGGACACATGGCCAGTTTTGCCATAGCTGCCCTTCTGCCTTAATCTTGAGATAGAGCCACTACTTTTGATATAGGACCTTCAAATTATAAGAAAAATAAATGTAGCTCTCAACCTGTTAGGTGTCCTATAAGGCTGAGCTTGTGTTCCCCAAAATCAAAGAACAAATTCTGAGCAACAGTGGGTTTTATTGAGAGAGTGTGGTGAATTAAGTAATGACCAACTTGTAACACTTAGCTGAACTAAGCCATCGTGGTGGTAGGTGTGGAAGGCCTACCTGAGGATTGTTGTCAACAGCATAAAAGTGGAACTGGGGGAGGACAGTACGCTGTTGATTCTCCTGGAGAAGCTTGTTATGCTGGTTTTCCTGATATGAGCTCAGCTGTTATCATCAGAGGTGCTCAGGCTCTCACTGTCGCTGAGGATGGCTACAGTTCTCTTCAGGGGAGCTCTGGTTGTTACTTTGAGCATTGCTGCCTGGCTTCAGTCCAGATCCCTCAGCCTGCTGGCACAGATCCTTCATCCCTCTGGCGCAGACTTTCCAGCTTCCACCACCGACCTTTGGGCAGATCTTCGATACAGACTTCCAAGAGACATTGACTTGGGCTCTTGACTTCCAGTTGGACTCATGGAGGTCATCACTTTTGAATTCAGGCCTTCAACTGAATTCTTTAGGTCCTAGTGTGTGGACAGATCTCCGGCATTCTTCATTTGACTTTTTGCTATTATAAAACAATTCTATAAATGATATGTCGTGTATAAATCTATTTCTTTTGCAAACCCTGATCATAATAGAGAGACAGGTCCTGAGAAAGACAGGACATGTCCTGAGTGTGTTGCTGTGGACTGCACTCCCCTGAGAAGAAATTCTATAGAGCAAAATCACTAGATGTGTATATGTGGACTAAAGCTATGATCATCCAATATGATTATAAGTATGGCTACTTAGGTAATATTGATCCAATGGGGAAGCAGGTCACATAGCAAGAGTACATGGAAAGAACAAGGAACTTTTCAGGAAAGGATATTTCTGGGGGCCTTGGTTACCCCCTGAGGTAACTAATGTCTATCTAGACTTTCTTGGATCTGGTGTCACCATTTATCTTATCCTTGGGCAAGCATGTAGGCCTGGCCATTCTGTCTTTTTATGGAGGCCTGGCCTCCAATCAATGTGCCTCTGCTTGTAATGTGTTTCATCTTTTGTATTGACTCTCTTGGCCTGGCTCTGTCTGCCTGCTTATATTTTTACCTAATTTAGCTGTCTGTAATATTTTCAGGTCCCTCTTAAGCAAGACAAATGCTGTATGCATAAAAGGAAGATGGCTAAAGAGTTCAATTCCAGCTTTTCAATTATGAGGGCACTGTGAGGTCTCACCTATTGGCACTTGAAAGATGAACTGGGAAGCACAATAGTTTCCCAAACTGTGTAGGAGGAACCCTGGTTACTTACACAATACCAGAAGCATGAATATGCTGTAGTATGAAGGAAGAAGTGATGAAGATAAAGGGAGGTGTTGGAGAGAGATTTCCTGAACAGTTGTTGGAAGTTGGAGTAGGACTATACAGTGAGAATGGAGGAAGGGAATTAGACAGGAAGAATGACCCAAGAGCTTTACTAACCATGACACAGGATGGTATTTCAGTGAACTCAAAGTAGGTTTGCCCACTCTATCTCAGGCTGTGTTAGTGGATTAATTTTTCATTCTCCTTAGCTTTTAATGGTATACAGACTTAATATATATATAAATGTATGCAAGGTTCTTAGAATAATGTCTGGTACTTAGCATTCTTCTTTTCTATTAGGGGGTTGGGTCTCTTTAGTCATACTTCTGGTAACTAAATGGCTTTTATTTCTTTTTTCTGTTTGAGACTTTGTCTTACTATGTAGTTCAGAGTGGCACTGAACTGACTATGTAGTTTAGGCGCACCATAATTCATTGTGATCTTTATGCCTCAGCCTCCTGAGTCCTGAGATTACAGGAATTCACCATGTCCTGTCCTGCTGGTTTTTTATGTTTTATAAAGTGTAATATATTTTCCAGCCGAACCAACCAATGTGCCTCTGGCCACAGTTGTGTTTCATCTTTTGTACTGAGTTTTAACCTTTCCCACCTCACCCCCCACCACCACTTAATTTCAAAAGCCAAACATTAAAAAACCAAAAAAGTCAAGCCAAAGTGCAACACGAATCTAGTACACCAGGAGGACGAGACTTAACACGGTTTTTGGCGTTTACAGGAAAACAGTATGAAGGAGGTTTGAAAAATTGCCCCTTTTATTTTCGGATCCGATTCCAGGGCGTTTTTTGGGTTAATGGCATTTTCACCCCTGAGATCAGTCTTTACAGTGGCCATCGCGCCGCAGCCACGAGAATCGGTGAGGCAGTGCGGAGCCCTGAGGCGTGGCAAACGCCACGTAACTAACGGCGCACCAACTACTCTGACATTTACGAAAGTCCAAGAGCAGAGAAAGACCAAACTGGGGAAGAAGGCGGAAGGCCCGGGAGGAAGCATATGGAAAAGCCACGCAGCGCAGGAGCTGCGTGGCGGGGACGGAGCCGGGGTCCCTGGGCCAGGGGATGCTGGGAGAAGGGCCAGGCGCCGGGTACCTGCCCGAACGCACAGCCCAATGGGAGGAGCGCGCGAGCCTCACCTCAACCTGCCCAAAGACGTCACGACGCTGAGGAGGACGCCGGGCCAATGGGAGGGCGTAGGGGGCAGGGGGCGTGGCCGCGGAGTTGAGGCCCGGCCCGGCGAAGCGCTAGGGGAGTCTTGTGGCCACCGCGGGAGAAGACTGAAGAGCCGGCGTCCGCGGGCCGGGCCTGCCCGCAGCTTCCTGCCTGCTCTCGCGCCTCCCGCATGGTGCGGGCTGCTAGCTGAGCGGCGGCGAGGCGTGGCGGACGCGTCGCCTGGCGTCCAGGTTTCCAGTCGCCGCCGCCTCTTCCTGCGGCGCCCGTGCGTGGCCGGCTCGGCGGGCGGGATGGCGGTCGCGGCCCGGGGAAGCGGCTGCTCTTCGGCGCCTCAGCTTCTTGTGCTCCTCTTGGTTCCGCTGCTCTGGGCTCCGGCAGGGGCCCGGGCCGGCTCCGACGCAGACCTTAGCCACCGGAACGACAACCCCCCGGCGCCCGCCCAGCAGCTGCAGGCGCAGCCTGTAGCCGTGCAGGGACCCGAGCCGGCCCGGGCGGAGGTGAGCGGGCAGGGCGCGCGGGGGATGGGGCGCGCGGCTGCGGAGCCGGCTGCTCTGGGTACCGGGATCTGGGCGCCGCCTGGGGGAGGGGAGCCGCCCTGCGCTAGGTTCCGGGCGAGGCCCGGCCTTGCCCGGCTCCTTGGGGGGAGGGGGGCAGGGAGGGCCCAGCTGGGAGCTCGCTGTGAACCTTCAGACCTCGAGGACCGGTATGTTGCTCGGAATCGGCGTCTTAGTGAACCACAGTGTCAAGCTGGAAGTACTCATCCCAAATAAAGTTTCTAGCACTGGACAGCTGGGAGACTTTTTCTTCACTATTCTCTAAGGATAATCACATTGACCATTTCATTGGTGAAACTGTTGATCCAAAAACAGCTTACTCAGATTCAGCTTGGCACAGCCTTTTTTTTTTTTTTTTTTTTTTTGCCAAATACAGTATGTGTGCATTGTGATCCGCGACTCTCCTTATTTTAAAACGTGCTTTGGCTTGCTGGAAGCAGCTCTTAGGAATACGGGGGAAGAATCAGTTTTTGACGGTACAAAGTGCTGCATCCGCCTGGAATGCCAGAACTAAACTTATAAATAAACCGGAATCTTGTATTGTGTTTGAACTTAAGCGAATAGATATAAGTTAACTTTTTAATCTGTTTTAATATAGTCGATCTTTTTACTTTCTTGATATTCTATTTCCAGTTCGACCTCCAAATTCTGGACTTTCATCTTCTAGGAACCAGTTTGATATTAACCGCCTACCTCCACCCCAGCCTACATCTGTCTTATCTTTGCAGAAGTAATCTTACAGAACATTTATTTAGTTTTGTCTTAGAAGCCTTCAAATTGACCCTGCCTAATAAATAATTTCAGTTGGGCCTTGTTAACAGGATGGATGTTTAGGTTTCTTAATGTTGTGGCTTCAGTTCACCTCCAGGCCTTTTAGGAACTGTTACTTTGCTCATATTCTATACTGTTTTTTAAAGCGTGCTTCAGTGGGGTGTGGTCAGTGATCGCAACACTCAGCGATCCAGACGCAGGAGGATTCCAAGTTCTACCCCAGCCTGGGCAATTGAGCGATTTATCACAGGGTTATAGCACAGTGGTACTTGCCGTGCGCCCCTCCCCAGCCTGAAAAAAAAAGTGCTTCACGAACTGTGGCGTGCCATGTGCTCTGTCAGTCTCTTCCAGACAAAAGACTTCCTTGAAAGGACTCAGCTTGAAGCCTGTGGTCTGGACTCTTCCCACTTTCAAGGGCCAGCAGATAGATACCTACTCTTTGGGGGAGCTTTCCCTCTGGTTCAAAGTGATTTCTCTTTCTTCTGAATAATGTTGTATTTCATTTCTTCACATTATTGCCTACTACCTTTGTCTGTCTGTCTGTCTGTCTGTCTGTCTGTCTGTCTGTCTGTCTTTTCTTCCTGTAAGTACCAGGGATGGACATTTCACACAGCAAGAACTTTCTGAGAATTAGAGTTGTCCAGAATGTAGTAATTGATGTTGAGAAACCATGAGATTCTCTTTACTGGAAATACTCAGGAACAAGTTGAATAATTTGCCATCCATAAGAAGATTTAAAATTATAAAGTGAAGATTCTGTGATCTGAGTTTTCTCATAACAGGAGTTGAAGCAGGTAGACCAGGTGCCATTTTCTGTTCTTTTTTTTTTTTTTTTTTTTGGCAGAATCAGGGATTGAATTCAGGCCCTTGCACTTGCCAGGTATTTTCTGTTCTTGGATGAGGAAATCCTTTAG